CCCCAAAACCCCAAAACCCCAAAACCCCAAAACCCCGTGATCATGAATCATTTGACTTATGTGGTAGAGTAAAATTTATTATTTAATTGAAACCTTTATAGAATATTAAGCATAATTCGAGTGAACTAATTTTATGGGCAAGAAAAAGATTAATATAGCTAAAATCAAATAGGAGCGTCTCCGATAGGTAAGTTACACTAACATTTGGTTTCGATTACTTCTCTTATGATGCTTAATCGATTGCTATTGTTACTATTTTAATTGAGCATTGGTATTAATTGTTTTGGTATAAATAGATAACATATTGCAAGAGAAAGAAGGGGCTGCTTAAAAAGGCAATGGAGTTATCGTTATTATGCGACGTAAGAGTGTTTCTATTTCTATATGACTAAAATGAGACTAAACTTATTCACTACTAATCTGATCCCAGAGACGACCTAAAATAACTTTTCAAATAGAATTGTAACAGAATATTCTATTGCAATGCTGATGTAAGTAATTTAAAACATAATTAAGATACTTTCTGATTCAAGCAGCATAGTTTACTCTCCAGTAAACCTGATTGCTTTAATACCAAATTTAACTATCCATTCCCATTACTGATTGAATCATTAACCTCTTTAATAGTATGAAAGCATATCCTCTAAGAAAGTAGCAGGCGCAGAAGAGGATAAAAAACCACAACACATCATACCAGACTTGAATATACTTTCTGACCAAATTTTAGAAGAGGATCTCAAGAAAATAAGATTTAATAACCAAAACAATAAATAACTGAGTAGCTAGTAGTAGCAGCAGTAGCAACAGTAGTAGTTTCAGGCATCACTGTAAATTTACGAGAGTAACCTCAGATCTGCTAATGAATTCTAATAGAGCAACAAGCGGACATAAAAGGTTGATGACAAGCAATCATACAAAGATGATGCTTTGAAACATAAAAATTTTAGTATCAACGACACACAATTTCTAAGATATCATCAGCTAACCCAATAATTTTCACCAATTAATTTGAAAGGATAAGTACAGTCAAATTAGGCAGCTAATCCATAACTCAGTAACTAGGGATCATCCTAGCAAGCACCTTAATCCTCAAGTTATAGGGAATAATCATAGACTAAATAAAGCAGACATGATTAATCTCAGAAATAGCAATAACAAGTTGCGATAAGTTATACAAGGGGTATAGATGGTATAAAAAATAATTAAGGCATCCCATCATACTCTAATCTTGAGTAATCTAATCATGACTCAAGATTTTCTAAGTTCAAAATTTAACTAACTTAGAAGGAACAAGGATACAAAAATCATTAGATACCTCTATCTCCGAGTGATAATTTACCATTCAGTCCGAGCTCTTACCAACATAAACTAATCAGCAATAATTAGCAATCATTGACCATTCCAACTAATAATAGTTCAAGAGAGTATAGACTATAGTAAGAAAGCTAATCACACTAATTTTCCCCATTCCACAATCACAGTCACTAGCAGCAGCCAGTGTCCAATACAACTGGAGAGAAGTATGAATCATTAAACAGAGCTCAGATCAACCACATGAGTGGCAGTCAGATAGTTCTAACACCGAGGCAGAATATTACTACCACTAACTAGGGATAAAATCGAAGGAACATTAATTAAATAATTTGTCCTAATATTCAAGATCAGTAATTGTAGTAGCAGCATTAGTATCAAACTAAAAATTGGGCAGCTAAAGGTTAGAGCAGCAAGCATATCTAGTAGGTGGGTTAAAAGCATCCCGTAGTAGTTTAGTAGCAAAATAATCCATTAAATTTTGATGTAAATTTCACCACTGCTACTCACAGAGTCATGAAAATGAAAACACGGAACCTAAGTAACTAGACTAATCATGCAGTAAGTCAGTGCTAAATAAATTCTCCCTTGAACATACAGTAGTTATCTCCTTGCTTTTTCTAGGTGCAGCCAATATCGCCCTCAAATAGAATGATGCAGAGGTAGATTTAGAGTGTAAATTGCGTAATGGATTCTAATATTAACAGCCCGATGCAGCCGTAAAAAGTTAGACCCTTTAATTTAGGTAAATGATCAAATCAATGTATACAAAACGTTTGAGCATGATTAATAATTTGAGAGTCTTTAATTAAAATTCTTAATTTGATTAATTGCTTGATCTTAATTCAGCTTAGAAGGCATCTTACGGGGTTTTGGGGTTTTGGGGTTTTGGGG